AATATATATATATATATATATATATATATATATATGTATATATATATGTATATATATATATTCTCCATTCCCGTATAGAATAGATACACTTGCCACGTATGTAGTTGCAAGATATCACATGAAATATATATATATATGTGTGTGCGTGTGTGTGTGTGTGTGTGTGTGTGTGTGTACTGTATGTATACATATATATGTACATCTACAAGCCAAACTCAAAGACACACAAATATATTTCCACATATCACACACATCTGTAATCATCTGCAGCAGAAATTTATTGGCCTGACAGTATCTTGCAATATTTTGGTATTTCACTTCCATGACAACCTATTCTGTACGAGAATAGAACAGTTCGCTAACTAGCAAGCCACATAGACGGAAAGGAGCAGTAAAACTGAACGAGAGGGTCTTTTCTTGCATTCAGCATGAAGCTTCACGCGCCTATCTTCACTTTACTGTCTTTCGCTTCACTCTCGATTTTGGCCGAGAGCTCCCAAGCGGTAAGTAATCAATGGCTTTCTCCGACTTAGCCCTATGCCCGTCCTTTGAACGAAACATCTTATTTGATTTAGGGGTAATTGTGGAATCGCAATCGCCTTGTTAAGGGTAATCTTTCGTTATGCGAAGGTATTGTGAAAAAAATACCCTATTAAGTGCATTTTATTGACATTGTACTTCGTTTGTTTTCGTCAATTCTTTCGTATTGATAAATTTCACTTTTATACCTTATTTAAATTATCGACACACCTGTGTAGCGATCTGAACCGTTGTTACAATGCGCAACGAACCGAAGGCACTCGTTTACGGAATTAAGACTTGTTTGTATGTCCTTTTTAAATTGATGGGAATGGTAGAATGGGAAAATTTAGTGTTTCAGGAAAATCTAAATACATATATATATATACGTGTACATATGAACACACACACACACACACACACACACACACACACACACACACACACACACACACACACACACACACACACACACACACACATACACACATACACACATACACACATACACACACAAACATACATGTATATACATGTGTATATATATATACATACACATATATATACATACAACCACAAATATATACATAAATGTATATACATGTATATATATATATACATATATATAAGTTTATATAATATATGTGTATATACATATGTATAGATATATGTATGTGTATATATACGTATGTATGTGTATATATACGTATACATACATATGTATACATATATGTATGTGTATATATACGTATACATACATATGTATACATATATGTATGTGTATATATACGTATATATACATATATTCATACATAGATAGTGTTAAGTAAATTAGTTTTTTAATAGATTTATCTCAAGTAAATTTCATGTGGATTCTGCATTGAAGTAGTAGGAATTAGAAATGTGAAATGTGAACTGTTTATTTTTTTCAAGTGTGTAGTAATTATTAATGATAATGGAACTAGGTAAGGTGAGATGCACGGTCGCAAAATATAGTATATATTGAACTAGAGATTCCTGTGAATTTGTTCTAAATGTAGCCTGTCCAAGGGAAGCCTGTGGAAACTAGTTCCACAGGTAAACAACCCAACAAAAGGTTCTCCTAAGATGCTGGAAAGGGACAACCTAAAGGTGTGGGGCAGGCTTTAACCACAAGTGCTACCAAACACCTTATGAAGATGTAGTTTATCATCCTGAAGAGCTTGATACCCTAATCCAATGCAACTGTCAGGGAATTCATGCGAAATGGGAATGATTGCAACATCTGTTAGCTTCATGTAACCCACTTTGTGTATGCCTATAAGAGATTATGACCAGGGAAAAACGTCCGATTTCCCTGAGAGGATTCCAAGTTCATGCTCATTATGGGACCTTTGATAACGGACCTCATGGAGGAGTAGCAGTGATGGTATGTCAGGATATTCCCTTCCAGGCCATCCACGTATGACCAGGGAAAAACGTCCGATTTCCCTGAGAGGATTCCAAGTTCATGCTCATTATGGGACCTTTGATAACGGACCTCATGGAGGAGTAGCAGTGATGGTATGTCAGGATATTCCCTTCCAGGCCATCCACCTGTAGACAACACTGCAAGTGAAGGCTGTGAGAATAGACTTGACATGGGCTTACACTGTTGCATCCATCTACCTCCCACCACATAATCTTAACATAGATGATTTGGAAGATTTACAGTTGCCTCATCCAGTTCTACTCTTGAGAGACTTCAATGGTCGGCATCACCTCTGGGGAGGCACTTTGTGCAACCCTCGAGGAAGGGCCTTGGAGTGCTTGTTCTCAAGAGTAGATGCAGTTTTACTGAACAGTGATGCACCCACACATTTCCAAATTGAAATTGGGACATTCTCCAATACTGACCTGTCAATTGGTTCACCTGATTCACATTTGAATTTCACTTGGCATGTCATGGAAAACCACTTTCCAATAGTAAGACTGCTCCTGGAAGTGACGATATTCCATACGAAATGATATCTCACTATAATTTCCTAATGGACCTATTCAATAGAATTTATAGGGAGGGCACCTTGCCATTCACATGGAACGAGGTTATAATCATTCCTGTCCCTAAACCTGGCAAGGATGCGTCCATACCAGGGAATTCTCACCAGCTGCATCTGCAAGCTGATGGAGAAAATGGTAAACTTCAAGTTGACTTGGCTGCTAGAAAAAGAAAAGATGCACTTGCGAGGATGGAAACTCCTATACAGAATTCCTTCTTTGACCTTGAACAGGCTTATGATACCACTTGGAAGCATAGCATACTCATAAAGCTGTAAGGCATTGGTTCAAGAGGAGCATTACCTACCTTCATACAAAGCTTCCTTGCTGACAAGAACTTTAGAGGGAGAGGGTGGGGAACATTTTGTCTAACCTGGAAGATCAGTTGGAAGGAGTCCCACAAGGGAGTGTCTTAAGTGTAATTCTGTTTGCCATTGCTATAAATGACATCGTAAAGGTCGTTCCAAGTGCTGTCTCATGTAATCTGTATGTGGATGACTTTACACTGTATTGCTCAGGAGGAAGCTTACAGGATGTGCCATTTATTTCCACAAATGAATAAAGTTCCATTCTTCCCTTTATTTAGGTGCAAACCTATTGCATTTTGTCCAAGAGGTGAAGTACTTGGGTCTAATTTTTGACACAAGGCTTACATGGGTACCTCACATCAAATAATCAAAGGTGAAAACTAAAAAAACACTTAGTATTTTACGAGTTCTTTCACACCAATCTTGGGGCGCAGACCACACAACGCTTCTGCGGCTTCACCAAGTGCTTATTCATAGTAAACTTGACTATGAATATGAGGCTTATTCATCTGCAACTCCAACTATTCTCCGGATGTTGGACTCAATTCATAATGAAGCTCTCAGAATCTGTATAGGGGCTTTCAGGTCTTCACCTGTGGAGTCTGTGTATGGTGAGAGTGGAGAACCACCTCTTTCATTACAATGGGACTACATGAACCTGATTTACTACATGAGACTACAAGGGATTCTAGGATTTCCTACATCCAGATTGGTTTTCAACCCCCTTGAGGATAGCCGATCCTATTGTAGAAGAATGAGGAATCTAGTAGAAGATCTTAATTTAAATCTCACAACAGTTCTAGCCATTGGAACTCCCCAATTCCCCTCTTGGACCAATCGAGTCGAGCTGGATTTTGTCGGAATTGAGAAATGGGAGATATCTGAAGCAGAAGTCAGAGATTTCTTCAACACACTTCTAAGGATCAGATGCAATATATATAGATTGTTCGAAATCTTAAAATGCAGTGGTGTTTGCAGCAACTTAAAACCCAGCATCAGTTGTCTTCCTGATAAATGGAGGGAACAATGGAGGCATACCTCTAGTAAAAAAAACTGGGAGAGATTAGAGATAGCCTTGGCTGTTGGGTGACCAGCATCCATCCAACCGACAAGTAGAAGTTGTATTAACAAGGCTGAGAATCGGGCACACAAGACTTACTCATGGGCCATTGATGGCTAAAAGTGAAGCACACTGTGAGGAATGCCAAGAGCCATTAACGGTCGCACAGGTAGTGGAAAGATGTGTAACATTCTCAGACCAAAGACGTAGGTACTTGTCTCCCCCAGATACAGTGACAAATGTATTGGGGGAGTATTGTGACATAGGTCTCATTAGTTTCCTTAGGGAAACTAATATTCTCAATAAAGTTTAATTGTGCATAATGTTTATGCAATAATTTTATATGTTTTGAGCATAATATTTATGCTTTGAATTTTAATATAATATTTATTGTTATTTATGACATTTATTGATAGATTTTCTTTTTTTTTAACTGATATTTTAATATTTCAGTCTAACGAGGTGTTCGCAGCTAATAACCTTAGTTGTTGACGTGGCAGATAATTTTAGATAATCAGTCAATCAAGGCCTTGAAGACACTTAGCTTGGCCCTTCTGCATAGGTACCGACATCTCCAAATGCTCCCAAGTTCATGGCTCCTGCTGCCAGACTAATCTGTCAATTGACTTCTTGATCTGACAGCCCAGAGATATGGACTACACCACAAAGGTATGCAAAGTTCTCTGTGACTTGAATATTCTCACCACAAGCATGGATCAACTGAACGGGTTCCCCTAACAGGCCCCCAAAGTCCTGAATCTTGGGCTTGGTCCAGGAGACCTCTAGGCCCAAGGGCTTCGACTCATTGATAAATGTATCAACCGCCGCCACCAGTGACTCCAGGGACTCAGGATAGCAAGATCATTGGCGAAGTCAAGGTCTAAGACCTTGATACTGCTCAGTGTTGCTCCACACTGACTTTGGATAGTAGCTCTGCCCATTATCCAGTCCATGCAGGTGTTGGAAAGTGTTACCTGTGCGACCGTTAATGGCTCTTGGCATTCCTCACAGTGTGCTTCACTTTTAGCCATCATTGGCTTGTGTCTTGTGTGCCCGATTCTCAGCCTTGTTAATACAACTTCTACTTGTCGGTTGGATGGATGCTGGTCACCCAACAGCCAGTTTGTTTCTAGAGGTAAGCCTCCATTGTTCCCTCCATTTATCAGGAAGACAACTGATGCTGGGTTTTAAGATTAAGTCAGTGTGTGGGAGAGGAACACAAGCATCACAGGGCTGAGTGGCAGCTGCCTTGGCCTTCCGATCAGCTCGCTCATTCCCACTGATACCAGCATGTGCTGGCACCCAACACAGAGTTATCTTTTTACTTGCTGACATCAGTGCAAACCAATCTTGAACCTCCCTCACCAATGGATGTGATGAGTTTTAGCTCTTGATTGCTTGCAAGGCACTACGAGAGTCACAATATATTACAATAGAATGGTTGTAAGATCTCTAGTCATCTTGACCGCTGCAAGGATGGTATGTAACTCTGCAGTGAAAATCGAGGCTGATCGAGAAAGACTGCCAGATGCAGTCTTTCTTCTGCTCACTGCTGCAAAGCCCATGTCATTTTCAGATTTTGAACCATCAGTAAATATTGGATCTGATCTTTGATCCCTCTGATTTCTGCTTCGGATCTCTTCCCTTTCCCTATTCCGACCAAATGCAAATCCAGCTTGACTTGATTGGTCCAAGGGGGGAATTGGGGAGTTCCAACGGCTAGAACTTTTGTGAGATTTAAATCAAGATCTTCCACAAGATTCCTCATATCCTACAATAGGATCGGCTATCCTCAAGGAGGTTGACAACCATTCTGGATATAGGAAATCCTAGAATCCCTTGTAGTCTCATGTAGTAAATCAGGTTCTTGTAGTGTAAAGAAAGAGGAAGTTCTCCACTCTCACCATACAGGGACTCCACAGGTAAAGACCTGAAAGCCCCTATACAGATTCTGAGAGCTTTATTATAAACTGAGTCCAACATACAGAGAACATTGGGAGATGCAGATGAATAAGCCTTACATACATAGTCAAGTTTACTACGAATAAGTGCTCGGTAAAGCCACAGAAGCGTTGTGCGGTCTGCACCCCAAGATAGGTGTGAAAGAACCCACAAAATACTAAGTGCTTTTGTAGCTTTGACCTTTAACTGTTTGATGTGAGGCGCCCATATAAGCTTAGACCCAAGTACTTTACCTCTTGAACAAAATGAAGAGGGTTTGCTCGTAAATAGAGGGAAGGATGGGACTTTCCTCGTTTGTGGAAATGCATAGCCATGGTCTTGCTTGGAGAAAATTGGAACCCATGGTATGTTGCTCATTGCAGAACCAGATTTATTGCAGTTTGCATGTGTCTTTGCCCTTCCAGCTGATCTTCCAGGTTAGAGAAGCTGTTTCCCACCCTCACTCTAAACTTTCTGTTAGCAAGGAAGCTCTGTATGAAGGGAGGCAATGCTCCTCTTAAACCAATGTTATTCAGCTTCATGAGTATACCATGCTTCCAAGTAGTATCATAAACCTTTTCAAGGTGAAAGAAGACTGCTAACATATGACGTCCTTGTGTGAAGGAATTGTGTATGGTAGTTTACATCCATGATAGATATACCATCAATGGTCTTCACTACTAGGTATTTACTATATGATACACTTTCAGATTTACCAGGTAAGTTTTCCTTAATGGATTGAGGAGGACATTTCTTCTTAGCTGGTTTGGGAGCTTGGGAACCATTACAATTCCCATTCTTGCCCATTCGAATCTGGTAAGGTTCCAGAGTGACAATATGTGATGTTCCAGAGGAATTGGCCAGGGGATTACGAAGGTCATCAGGGAGAGAGCAAGTTTTTTTGTAAATTTGCAGAAATCATACATATTATAAATCTTTATTTCCTCACCCACCCACCCACCATGGAGTCCAACGAGGGGAAGCTATAGTTGGGCTCAAATTTTCCCGACAGCCACAGGGCTAGTGAGCAAATATACGCAGTCACTATTACAGTGCTGATGGTAGTCGCAGGACCTTTGTGCTACCGACTGGATAGTGTCTGCTTGACCCTAGCCATATTTGACCAGCGGATTGACTTGACCAGGCCTTGATCAAGCCACCCGTCTAACCAGAATAGAGAACCAAAGCATCGCTCAACCTCCAGGTCTCCTGTCTCCTGGTAATATGGGACGCCACGCACGGCAAACACACGTGGGAGAGTTCTCCCTGGTCCAAGATGGAATGAACCAGGGGTGGGTGCACCATCCACTCTCATAGGCCTTGGTGCACCAGGAAGCCATTTTGTCTCATTCCTCACTAGTGACTCCTCCAGTATGGGTAGCCCTCTGGTCCGGCTCACCAGATCACTGGGACCACCGCGGCAAGGCGACTTTCGTTAGGGGGGACAGGCGGGATGAATAACTCTCATTCCCATCCTGTGCCCCAACATTTACCCTCCCAACCACAGCCCACCTTCCTCTGCAGCTGCCCATTAACCCTAGGGTGAACCAGGGAGTGTCCACACACCTGTGGGCCATGGCTCCGTACCTCTGGGGTCTCCTGCAGCTTCGAGATCCCCCATAATTTAGCCTGGGACCGCAAGGTGCCCAGTTTCCA